GGTTCAAATCCCGGACGAGCCCCATTTTTTGCCTTGATATATTTATTATTGCATTTTGTCCTCTCCACTCAAAGTTATTTTGAATTCTGCCTGACACTGTTTCCCCACTGCCCCAGGCGGGCAGGCGGGCAGGCGGGAGGGGCAGGTGGAAAGCAGATAAATATCTTGGCCTCTCGGTGCATCTGCTATGAAATGAAGATTGTAAAAAGTTCCCTTTCCCTGCCTGCCTTCAGGGGTCCTGTTTAGTCAGATACAATAGTGTGTGAGAAATTGCTTGGAAACTAAATAGTGCTACCCACAGGAGCTGTTTTCTTTTTCTGGAAAGAAACTGGGAGCTGGTGCATACTAACGTTATCATCATTTGATAAATGTGTGATGTGTTATTCTTCATGTGCTTGCTGTTTTACAGTGCCTCAAGGTCGTTTTGTAATTATACAGCTTACTATTCCAGTTTGGTCTGTGAGCTTCCCTTATGGGCAGGCATTATGTTTTATTCATCTTTTCTGTAATCCTCTACAAGAACAGTGCCAATAACTGCTCAAAATACCCTCTCCGGCTGAGTGAAGAAAGGCAAAGCAAATGTTACAGGTTTATGATATTAAAGTCTTAGTACTTTGCCTCTGGGAAACTATGGGTTCAAAGGGATCATTACGATCTTGTGATGGTCTAGGAGTATTGTTTCATTAAGAAAAAATTTAAAGTATGAAATGCTCAAAATGATGAGAAATCTCAAAAGAGTGCATACCCAGATTCTCTATATACTAACGAGTGAGACAGACGATTGGATGCGAAAGGGGAGGTGAAGACGTTGTGTCAACGTGGCCGCTCCAGGTACAATCAATCATCCGTGTAAAAAGCTTGTGGCAGCGGTGGGATTCGAACCCACGCCCCCGAAGAGACTGGAGCCTTAATCCAGCGCCTTAGACCGCTCGGCCACGCTACCTCATGTCAGTTAGTCTCTGCAGCATGTCATGTACCCTTTACTCTCTTCCGCTTCCTTCCTAACTTTATAATTCACGTATTTATAACTTTATTAGGTTCATCATATTTTTTTCCCCCCACTTATTCTGGCTTGTTTTGATTTCTTTCTTCTTTTAAACCACAATGCTTGAGATCGGTGGAAAGAGCTGATACACATCTTGCATGGCCTCCCGAGGGACGGAACAGACTTTGTGGGCCTGGCACAAGCCGGTCCCTCGGGAGAATCGAGGCCTTCTGCTTCGGCCGGTTTTCCATGGAGGAAGCCGCAAGGCAAGTGCTTTTTCTACGCGAAGGATGCTGGGTCTGGGGTCGTCTCGGAGGAGACTGGAAAGTTTCCGGGAGGTGAGAATCTAAGGCAGACCTGACCGAACCCAATAACTGGCCAGTCTGGTGCCGAGGCCGGAAGAAGCCTCCTTACCCGGCCCCGGCTCTTCTGCCCCGAAAAGGTAACGCCGTCCGGGAGACGCCCTCCCGGGAAGGCGCGCGCTCTTCCCTCCCCACGGCCAAGGAATCGGCCCGCAGCTCTAGACTATCCCTGAATCGATCGCCTCCCACCATTCAGGCAGCATCTTTGGCCCATTTGGAAGCGCAAACATGCAAACATACAGCGAAATTATTCTCGTTGATCCTGAAATATTTTTCCTAAAATGATCTGAATTGTAAGGGTATCTTTTCTAAACTTGAGTAAAAAAGAATGCAGCGATTTGTTTGTCCACTAGGTGGCATTATATACTCATAGCTATTAAAAAAGACTGAGTGTAGACGTGGCGAAAACTTTTTACTTAAATTTCAACCCTTAAACTGTCCTTATGTCTGGCTCGTTGGTCTAGGGGTATGATTCTCGCTTAGGGTGCGAGAGGTCCCGGGTTCAAATCCCGGACGAGCCCTGTTTTCCACTCGGAGTCAATTTGTCTTCCCACTCCAATAAAACGACATGTTTATTGGTGTTAAACAACACCATACTAACTAAGCAAGTACCTTTTGTAACTAATACTACAACATTTTATACTCCACCATTTCAGATTTATAAACTTAATCCTTAGACAAATGCTCTTTGTATTATTAAATCACCAAGATAAATACCAGACGTTATTACGCATAGTTTATATAGTATTTATTCTATAAAATTATTATTTCTAAAATTAACCATTATTTCTCTTCTGCATGTTTTTATTATCCAGGAATTGTTCATTCAGGACTTAAGGAGGCATATTTTATATCAGTAGTTTCACATAACCATCAACTGAAAGTTCCTTCCAACTGGACATAAAGCAAGGCACCAAGTAAGCTCTCAGAAGCTTTAAATCGGGCATCGGTGCCATTGGCTCCTTTGCAAACTTGCTTAAGCACAGCTGCTTAAGTGCCAAGTTGCTTCAGGCTTTTATGACTCTGAGCAAATTCTGAACCGATGGTGTTTGGGGGGTCACATTGTAGGGTTGCATATAACAGCCATTCTGTAAGAGCCTGTAAAATAATTGATTTAATAAGCGGATGAACGAAGTCCACGCTAGGGAGACAGCGAGGAAAAGGAAAACTAAGGTTAGGGAAGGACCTCTGTAACCAACAGGACTTCATCAACCTCACTTGACCAAGTTTTGTGATGAGGATCACTGTGAAGAAGAACCCTGAGGAAACATTGCTGGCATGTGGGCAGGATGCCTGGAGGATGATGGAACAGGGGGTGAGAACCTCTGCTGGTCACAAACAGGCAACTCTGCTCCCAGGAGCTACCAGTGGAGACTGACCCCTTGTGGACAAACCAGGTACCATCATGGGTCTTATTTTTAGGGTCTCAGTAAAGGATTTCGGATTACAAATTCGTTTCTAGGGACGCCACTATTTGCTGATCCTTCTGTGTACATGATATGGATGCAGAACTTATAGAGGAGAGAGCTGTTTTATTGTTCAGGGAGATGTTGTTCATGAATTAGGCTAGACTTCTTAAGTTAGATCCCATGGTGTGGAAAGTGGAAAACAGGTAGCACCCACTAGCAAAACTTGTGAGTTGATTTCTATCAACTGAAGTCAGAGGATCAGAGGGACAATCGTAGATTTAAGACTCTGGGTAGTAATTAGTGCTAAATCAACATTTTTCTTTTATATCATTGATCTTTCTGATGTGGATGAAAGGGGCTACATGCTAACCTGACAAGCTCAGGGAAGGCCTGCATGGCAGTCTTGCAAACTCAGAGATCTAAAGTAACCACAAAGGATGGTCTAAATTTAGTTAAACTTTAACTAAAAGCAGTTATGGTGGGCAGTTACATCCTAGGCTGGTATCTTCACTGACAAGGTCAACCTTTATCTTAACTGAGCCTGTCTGTCTTGTTGCATCTAAGATAACATACCCTTTGAAATGTCTGGGTAACTTGTAACTTCCCTTTTTCTGGACCCCTTGGGGCACAACCTAATGTGCCTGGGCGCCAGGACAGATACCACTAATTCCTTCATTGTTAATTGTTCCTGTGCCCACTTAAGTATGTGTCTATCATTTTACTTTTTATCCAATCCCAGGGGTTTCTCCCACTTTGCTTTCTCTCACCTCTCTAGTCTATCACCAATGGATTTCATGTAACCCTTCCTTTGATTCCAATGTATAAATACAGATATAACCCGCCATTCTCCAGAGCATTATCTCAATTCATTGAGGTTTTGCTTCCCGGCATATGTCGACAGTTTGGCTCATATAAACTCACAACAATTCTTTACAGGTTTCAATGTTGTTTTTTTTGTGTGTGTGTGTGTTTTTTTACATTAACACTGATCTCATGTAGATATGGTGCTACAAGTTCCCACCAAAGTAACCCTCAAAAAGAAATTTTGAGTTTTACAAAGAATAACTCTTTGATACTATGGTTAAAGTATCAAAATGTAGTTCTTTTAGATTATTTGTTTATGTGGTAGCCCATTAAGTCAATATTTACTGAATATTTATTGAGCAAATATTTGTCGAACCTCTATTATATTCCTGGCACTGTGCTTGGAACAGAGATGACTGTGGGAATCAGACAGATGTGGTTTCTGCCCTCATGAAACAATCAGATAATTTTTTAAAACCAAGAAATGCAGTAAATTTATTATGCTAGTGATAAGGGCCACAAAGGAAAAGTACAGTGTTATGCAAGCAAAACTCCCTTTGGGGGTCCTGGAAAGGCTTGTCTAAGGAAGGAGGAGCACACAGGATTTAACCAGGTAGAATGAAGAGGGGTGCACGGAGTGAGAAACATCCCACAATGAGAGAACGAAATGTTGAACACCTTGAGCTGGAACGAAGCCTGATGAGCTCAGGGAACTGGAAAGAGAGGTGTGTAGTGGGGCAAGAGTAGGTTTACAGTTGTTCGTATGGAAAAAGACATGCAGATTATGATGATTACAGTGGCTTTATTAACTCTGTGCTTTGTGTACTCAAACTGTAAACCTACTTTTGCCCCACCCGACATACGGAGGGAGAGGACAAGAATGATTTGGGATGAGGCTATCTATGAAAGCCTGGCAGTCGGAGGTAAGGGCTGTAGTCATTATTTTACGACTTATGAAAAGCCATGGGCCCATTTTAGGTGGAGATTGGGGTGGATAGTGCAGGCACAGGACTAGATTTGTGTTCTAAAAAGAGTACTGTGTGATAGTACAGTTGACAAAAAAAGCACCCTTTCGACTTTCTAATAAGCCACCACAGAGCCCTGCACCATGGAATGTTACGGCTGGGTGCGTTTTGTCAACACTCAGTTGTTACTTGTTTTCACCTCCTGCAGTCCACCAACTCTGCCAGCTCCCAGCCACTTGTACAGGAGGTCAGTGAGGCCCCTGGAGTTGAGGTCAGGGTCACAGAGCTAGTTAGTGGCTGGGCCATTCCAGACAGGCTTTCACAACTACTAGGCCACTCACTGTTCATTGTGCTCGAGCTGGGTGCTTCTGAGAACAGGGAGGGTTTTGTTTTTAATGCATCTGGGTTCTTTAGGGCCTCCGTGACTATGCGAGGTGGGGACAAGAGATCTATCTGATTTTCAGGGAAGCTGGAACTGGCCCAGAAAGGAAAACAGAGCCTGCGAGTGTCCTTGGAGGGGCTGCATGGAAGGATGGGTAATGGTCCTTCTAAAGGGATTCAAAGGCGCCTGTCGGGGGCCCAGCCTGGGGACACACAGGAGAAGCCAGGTATGCTATGATCAAAGCATTCTCAGAAGTGAACGCTGGAGAGACAGGGCCCTCCCAAGCGGCTGTTAGAAAGACAAGGCTGTTAGAACAACACGCTTAGGGCAACCTCCCCTCAGCCTGGCCCCCGCCCACCCCCCCGGGCTATTACCTGGAGGCAGTCATTTCAGGGACACAAGTTACAAAAAAAATAAATAAATGGCTTGGTTTGCCCCCAAGGGAGAACAGGGCCTGCTGTGTTCTTAGCCTGGGGCTGGAACTGCAAGGCTGGGATAGATAGCCTCTCATCTGATTCCGAACTTGTTCTGCCCAAATCAGAAGCAGCTTGTCCTTGGACATACCCAAGCTCCAGTCTGTCCACCTCACATGGACAGAGACAGGCGACGTCGTGGGAGGGCAGTTGAAAGATTGCCCAGAGGCTTGTGAAGCTATTGCATGAATCTTGCAGTTCATAGCTTGTTTAGCAAATGGCGTTGCTGTTGCCAAAGGTAGCCAACAAATCCCTCCATGTAGGCGTGCTTCAGGCCCTTTTGTTTTGCCTCAGTAGCAGGTGTTCTTGATTTAGGGAGGTGTCCCCTTGACCAGAATGCCAATTCCTTAGGCTATTTCACAGGGCTACTCTGCCAGACTCCTGAATCAGAGCTCCAGTTCCCACTTTTGGGCCTGGTACGCAGGATCCATTTCCCCATTGCTCACCCTGCCTCCAGGCAGGGAGGTAGAGTGGACAGCCCTACTTTCCCAGTGTGTGTGTGTGGGGGGGGGGGGGGGGGTTAGAAGTGGTCACCAGAAAATTGTCATCTTAAGGGACTTGACCTAACTGGTGTGGCTCAGTGGATAGAGTATCGGCCTGCGGACTGAAGGGTCCCAGGTTTGATTCCGGTCAAGGGCATGTACCTTGGTTGTGGGCACATCTCCAATAGGGGGTGTGCAGGAGGCAGCTGATCCATGTTTCTTTCTCACTCTCTACCCCTCTCTCTTCCTCTCTGTAAAAAATTAATAAAATATATTTATAAAAGGGGGGGGGGGACTAGCCAGTGGAGTCACTTTAATTGAGCTCAGAACCTTAGTTTGTGACAGCAGAAAGGGAATCATAGATAGTCCGATTCTGCCTTTATTCTTTTCTGCCACCTCCATTTCAGAGATGAAGAAACTGGGACTCTGAGAAGTGACATGGCTTTGTAAGATCATACAACTAGTCAGGGGCAGGAGAGAACAAGCTCTGAAGTCCTTTATCCGCTCATCCACTCCACAGACACTTTTTGTTCTGTGAAGTACCAGGCAGTGTGCTGGAGCAAAGGGCACGTGCTCCGGCCTCCCAAACACCCAGCACGCGTGCAGAAAGCCAAACAGACCCTTTCCTGCCCCACAGAGCAACTGTTCACACTAAGTCATGTACAGGAAGCAGGGAGGAGGGCTTCTTATGGAGTTTCAAAGAGGAAATGGAAGTGGTTAATTTTAAGGAGGATTCCTGCAGGAGTTGATAAAGTTTCATGCCCTTTGCCCTGACTTAGGGATATTTCTTGACACCTGGGCTTGCATTGGATGCCTGAGAGTTTGTGGGAACCAGCAGTGATTTCCTCATGGGCAAGGCCCACTTCCAACGTTAGAAAGAAACTTGAGAGATCATCTGACTGTTCTCCACAGCAGAGTAGTAAGTGAAAGTAGTTTGGGAGGGCTCCTTGGTGAAAATGAATAGGGAAGGGGAAAAGATTCCAACTCAGAAGTACTAGAAGCACTTCCAACCTTTTGGTCTTTAGACAGTGCTAAAAGTTGGCATCTGGGCGATGATGACGAGATGCAGGAAGAAAGGGTTAGACGATGGAGGGAAGAGGAGAGTACCTTCCGCTTTAAACAACCTTCCTGAATCCATGGTGTTCCTAGCTTCACTTTGTCACTGCCAGTCCTCCCTGCCTGGGCCCTGCTCCCAACCCACAGACAATTGTCACTTCTTCTCCCCCTGCCTGGCCCTGGAAACGCTCTTTCTGGTGGAACCCAAATCACTCCCCTCATCTCCAGGATCCCCTGTGAACTGGTTTCCAGAATTGCCAAAGAACACAGATAATTAAGGACTAGAACTAAGAAAGACCAATCCTTCCTCCTCCAATGAATGGTGTGTTTGGGAGGAAGGTCCTTGCCCTGTGCGTTGGGAGGGGGGGCACTCTGAGGAGCTGCTTTAGTCACGTGACATGGGGCAAGTGCCTACCTTTACCTTGTGGAAGCTCTGAAGCAGGACAGTCACTCACATGCAGGGTTTCACGCAGGGTACTGAGTGCTCCATATATTAATGTAAAAGTCCGTTTCGTTGTGGGGTGGGTGTAGCTCTTTAGAAATTACTATGCTGTTTACCAATTCAGGCCTCATCCATTGTGGTGATTCCTAAACTTCAGTTTACAATCCCCAGAGGTGGGCTACTCATTACAAGTGCAGATTCCAGGGCCTCGCCCCAGAGTCTGATTCCACGCCCCAGGTCTGGGGTAAGGCTCAGGTTTCTGTATTTTTAATTAATAGCTAAAGACTGATGTATTTCACTTAGAAAACTTCTCTCTCTCTCCAGGATCCCCTGTGAACTGGTTTCCAGAATTGCCAAAGAACACAGATAATTAAGGACTAGAACTAAGAAAGACCAATCCTTCCTCCTCCAATGAATGGTGTGTTTGGGAGGAAGGTCCTTGCCCTGTGCGTTGGGAGGGGGGGCACTCTGAGGAGCTGCTTTAGTCACGTGACATGGGGCAAGTGCCTACCTTTACCTTGTGGAAGCTCTGAAGCAGGACAGTCACTCACATGCAGGGTTTCACGCAGGGTACTGAGTGCTCCATATATTAATGTAAAAGTCCGTTTCGTTGTGGGGTGGGTGTAGCTCTTTAGAAATTACTATGCTGTTTACCAATTCAGGCCTCATCCATTGTGGTGATTCCTAAACTTCAGTTTACAATCCCCAGAGGTGGGCTACTCATTACAAGTGCAGATTCCAGGGCCTCGCCCCAGAGTCTGATTCCACGCCCCAGGTCTGGGGTAAGGCTCAGGTTTTATTTTTAATGCTGCTTTAGTCACGTGACATGGGGCAAGTGCCTACCTTTACCTTGTGGAAGCTCTGAAGCAGGACAGTCACTCACATGCAGGGTTTCACGCAGGGTACTGAGTGCTCCATATATTAATGTAAAAGTCCGTTTCGTTGTGGGGTGGGTGTAGCTCTTTAGAAATTACTATGCTGTTTACCAATTCAGGCCTCATCCATTGTGGTGATTCCTAAACTTCAGTTTACAATCCCCAGAGGTGGGCTACTCATTACAAGTGCAGATTCCAGGGCCTCGCCCCAGAGTCTGATTCCACGCCCCAGGTCTGGGGTAAGGCTCAGGTTTCTGTATTTTTAATTAATAGCTAAAGACTGATGTATTTCACTTAGAAAACTTCTCTCTCTTTTTTTAATCTGGGGGAGCCAGGCAGTGGCAGACTAAGGAGTAGTTGCGGGCTGGTGGTGAGGTCATTAGGCCTCATTCCCATTCTTTGATTAGGGCAATTCATGCTTCCTCCGTTGTGGGGAAAGCCCTCAGAAAGTGCATCTTCAAGAAGAGTGCCCCTTGCCCTGGCTGGTGGCTCAGTTGGTTAGTGTCATCCCAATACACCAAGGTTGGGGGTTCGATCCGTAGTCAGAGCACATACAAGAAGCAACCAATGATGCATAAATAAGTAGAACAACAAACCGAAGAAGAAGAGTGCCCCTGGCTCCCTCTGTGGCAGGATCGCAGTCTCTTCGTGCCCAGCACTTGAGAAAGAGGAGATATGAAGCAGATGAAAAGGAGAATGAGCACACCCACGTCAGAGTGGCCAAGGAAAGGGACAATTCGAAAGGAAGTGCTTGTGAAGGTCCTGCTAATGGCTGCCAGGAGTAGTAAATATGTCAATCAGCGCTAAGATTTCTTTTTCTCTTTTGCAATTAAAAATTTTAAGGAAGTCTATTATAGCCCATAGCCTGTATTCAGTGTGCAGGAGAGTATCCAGACTGGGAGGAGCATGAAGCAGCGTCACACCAGGGAGAAGCACTGATGAAAGGAAGCCAGGATGAGCGGAGGGGAAGTCTGGAGGATTCATTGTGGATAAGAGATAAAAGCACTTCTCAAATATTGGGAAAATATTGGGAAAATAACTAGAATTCTAGTAGTAATGAAGAATGGGACTTGAATTGTTGTTATGCAGATTTTAAAAGGAGGGCAATCCCCCCAAATCTGAAAACTTGGGCTATTTATTTCCATCCCATTTTGCTTATAGTTTCCTTTGTTCCCACCCAGATGCCTGAGTACCCTCTATGGCTCCTAGTTTCTTGCAGCATTTCTCAAACTGATATTCCATAGAACCCTGTCCCATAGCGGTGCCCCTTAAGTGAAGTCCCATGCTCAGATCAATTTATTAAATCCTTAGTTAAATGAAATTAGTTCAGCTTCTCAGTCGCTGGGTTTCTCAAAATTTCGTGTGTTGTGGATATTGTGACTCTCCAAGGGAAGAAATATAATTAACAATCTTTCTCAAATGTTTAATCGTGAAACATTTTTTTCTTGAAGCACATTCATGAACATTGTCCAGACAATGCTTCCCTGGAGGCAAGGAGGACAAATGCTGCTACTTGTCCTCCAGTGGTTATTCTCCCCTACTCTGTTTGTCATTGGAAAACAGAATTCTAGCTAGGCACATGCCCACCCTACATTTCCTAGTGTCCAGTTGGATGAAACTATGTGACCAAATTATTGCTAATGAGATGTGAAACTTTGGGATGTATCCTCAGGCAGCACCATTCCCTTTTTGTGCCTTTTTTCTCCTTGCTGGCTGGAATGCAGATGTGACGGCTGGGGCTGGGGCTAGAGCTGCCATCTGGATTGTGACATGGAAGTCACAGGTTGAGACAGAAGTCAGAACCTTGGAGCACCTGGCCAGTCCCGGACTAATGAGCCCAGGCCTTTTTTCACACGAGAAATACAGGTCCATCTTCTTAGACAACCGTTACTTTGAGTTTTCTGTCATTAGCAGCCATTTAGGAAATGTGTAATGACAATCTCTTTAGATAGGTTTCTCTTTATACAATGAAAATGTTTCTGCAAGATGATGTGCAAATCAAAATTTGTTAATCGGAAAATTCATCAACAGAATTAGATTCGTCAACTTATGTCTTTGTGGCATTGTGTAAACACATATCCGAAACAGGGCCGTTTCAATTCTGAAAGGGCACACAGCATGAAAGTTTTTGGAAAGCAAATAATAACCTCTTGGTTGTCCATTTTCATGGTCTGGAATTATGGTTTTGTTGTATAGAAAGAGACACATTTTTTTAATCCTTTTCCAGGATTCTCTGTCTTTCCTAGACCATTTTTTACCCCAAAATGTTTTTCTTCTTATCAATAAGAAACACACACACACACACATAAATAAA